TTTTCCATTTCATGTTCACCAATGCGTTTCATAATTGCATTTTGCTCCTTTGTTGCAGTCTTTGGTTTCATTTGGCCATGCATCAAAAATAAATTGATATGGAGGGAGTTGGCTCAAATGTTACCCCCATAGGGGTAAGTAAGCCCACAAAATTTGAACCCTCTAGCTCAACTAACATGGGCGCAGTGAGCAATCTAATTTTCGCCTGAAATTCATTTTCACCTTTTTTAGCAAAATGCACATTTTTGGAAAAGTCGTCGCGCTGGCCGCCCCGACGGCCTTTCCTCCGCCTGATCGACGTTTCTAGACTGAAAATTGTCTAGGGAATCCGAATCTGGCGTCGGTTTTCCGATAGCGTTCCGATAAAAATCCAAAAATGGCACTTTTTTACGGAAATTTAGTTACTTTAGGGGTTCACGCGACAGGCCGTATCCACTAGCCCCCAATCCAAACATGCCCGTTTCAACTTTTTTTCAGTTAAGGGACACCATAAGCTTAATTTTAAGATGGGCCCCGATATTGTGTATGGGTCTCGTTTAGGAGCTAGCCCTATGCCCAACTTTTGACTTTTTCCCTAAAACTTGTTTTTCTATGAAACCTTTAAAAAGGCATGGCCTCCTCAAAAAACGTCCTAGGCGGCAAATTAAGTAGTCTAACGGACGCAGAATTTCCCGAGGATCACGATGCTGCACGTGCATTTGAGTTTTGGGGCCTCAAACACAGTCAAAACTCCAAAAAAACAACAAATTTATGTTAAATGCCACAAAATGTTGGACGGCAATTACGACCATTTTCCCCGTCGCAAGGCCGCTGTGCCGTTGCCTACTCGGACTCCTTGGAGTTCCCACTTTGAGAATAAGCAGGAAAGGGTCAGCAGCCCACACTGGAAACTGCGGACTTCCCCGTAAGGGCGATGCACCGCGCCGCCCAGGTGGGCAACCAGTTTGACGCACCCCTCGGCCACAGGCGGTGGAGGTCGCGCGCGCCGCCCGGGTTGGCACCCAGGCATTTGGTCTTTGGACCTTCCTTTAGGATGCCATTGTTACGGAGTGCGATTATTCACCTTAGTTTGGGTGCAGTATTGTCTCAAAGTTGATCAAAACCGACTTTAATGGCATTTTTGACCGTTTTGATCAATATTGAGACAAGACTGCTCCCAACTATGGCGCATAATCGCACTCCGTAACAAAGGCATGCTAAAGGAAGGTCCAAAGACCGTTCAGAAAGTACAAAGGCCCGCCTCGGATCAGACGCAGAGGCTGCTTAGTCGGCCCAAAACATGATTTTTTTAAGGCTTTTTTGACCGTTTTGATCGACTTTGAGACAACACTGCTCCCAAACTAAGGCATATAATCGCACTCCGCAACAAAGGCATGCTAAAGGAGGGGTCCCGTGGGGTTGCAAAATTTTTCCTGCTCTTCAAACCGACAAGCGTACATTGTATGCTCTAACTTAAGCATGCCTGCAAGCACGCTCTAGCTGGCGCATGCCTGCCAAGCGTGCACTTACTAGTGCATACATGACATGTACACGCTAACTGAAGCATGCATCTAGTGCATAATGGATAGGGAGTTTCCTGCATCAGAAAGCGTGTACATGGCATGTATGCACTAGTAAGTGCATGCTTGGCAGGCATGCGGTAGGTAGAGCGTGCTTGCAGGCATGCTCTAGTTAGAGCATTGTACGCTCTTCGATTTGTAGAGTGGGGGTCGCGGAAATATTTGGCTACAAACTTGGGGTCGCGAGCCGAAAAAGGTTGAGAACCGCTGTTTTAGAGGCAATGTAGGAAAATAAAAAAAATCGTTCACAAAGGTGTTTAAATGTGTTCCAATTCCTTGGATGAGGCCGGATTCACGTTAAGAGACATCGAAGTCTGTGGGAACGTCACTTGGTGCGACACTGTTAAAAATATTTGTTTTAAAACAACAACACAGTTACCAACCTCTACAACGCTGTTGTTTGTGAACAAGTTTGCTTGTTTTGAAACGACGAATTCGTTGCTAATTATTTTAATGACTTATGCTGTTTCAAAACAATATTTTGCTGTGTACAAACAACCCGGACAATCTAAGAAGTGGTTACTGCGGGGTGACCGGGACTCTACTAGGTCTGTGACCTAATCGGCAATAAAAATTGATGCAAATAAGGCTGTCTATCGGTTTACAAACATCTTGTGGACGAACGACGCAACTCGTTAGTAAACAACAAAAGTCATTTGAAAACAACTTTGATCGCTAAGAAAATTAGCAACATATTTACTGCTAAATTACAACATAATTTTTAACAGTGGACTGTTTATAATAGTTTGCATGTTGTTTTTAAAAAAATGTTCAATTTGAACACATTGAACGTTTCTGGCCAAACGGTCCGAAAAAATCCAAAAGACTTCGTGCAGAATCGTTTCTTATACCTTTGAGAAAGTCTCTGTCAAGTTTCATACTTCCATCACTGAATGTGCGACTTTTTTGGCTAGCGCGGCCACAGGGCCGGGCCGGGCGGGCCCGCGCTTGCGCCTAGAGCCGCCGCGCGCGCTTCGCACCCACCTATCTCAGGCACCGTTCAAGGTACCAAGTTGGTTTTGTGCTCATTTTTTTACGAAAAGAAGCAGGCTACAGCCGTTAAAAAAGGTCATTTCCCAAAATCCAGCGAGGAAAAAAGTTATGGGTCAATGAACAAAACTTCGAGCTTTTGTGAAAATAAAATTCTAACTTTGTCGGCCTAAAAGTCAAAAGTATTTCATCTACGCTAAATCTGAAGGCAGTTTTAGATTCCTTGTTATATTTTACGTCGGATGGCATTCTTCGTGTGTTGAAATCGGTCCACTGGAAACGTAGCTACGTCAAAAACGGACTAACGGCAATTTCCTGGAATTTCCTTGAAAAATAGCCGATTACTGGAATCCTAGGGGACGAATCAATTGCCTCTCCAGCCAAAATTGTAACTATACGTCCATACTACAACTGTGCAAAAGCTCAATATCTGGTCATGACGTACAGCTTTTTTCCGTGAGGCCCACCGCCTATGCCTACCCGGGCGGCGCGCGCAACCTCCACCGCCTGTGGCCGAGGGGTGCGTCAAATTGGTTGCCCACCTGGGCGGCGCGGTGCATCGCCCTTACGGGGAAGTCCGCAGTTTCCAGTGTGGGCTGCTGACCCTTTCCTGCTTATTCTCAAAGTGGAAACTCCAAGGAGTCCGAGTAGGCAACGGCACAGCGGCCTTGCGACGGGGAAAAGGGTCGTAATTGCCGTCCAACATTTTGTGGCATTTAACACTAGGGGTACGCGCCGTTTAGTGTGGGCGCGTAGTGTGGCTGAGCGATGCGAATTTGTGCACTTCGTACTTTGCTTAAGTAGACGAAATGTGCAGTTTGTGGGCTCATATTGAGTGAAATGTAGGTCTGGGGTAAAAATGGAAGTGATTTTCGTTATCTGCACACAAAAAACTGTTGGGATCAACGTCAAACCCGATTCCAAAATTTTGGTCCAAAATTGGTCAAAATTATGTAATGCGTGAGTCTGGGGAAAATTTGGAAGTCGTTTTTGAGTTCAGCGCACCAAAAACTGCAGGAAACAATTTATAAATCGATTTGAAAATTTTGGTCCAAAATGACCTAATTTGGGATTAAAATATAAGTCTGGAGTCGAAATGGAGGTGATTTTTGGCCCGTCCCGTTTATTTTTTGTAAAAAAATGACGGAGGGACGGGCATATAGTATGATCCTTCATCACGCAATTGCTGTGCGTCCGTTCGTTCGTTCGTCCGTCCGTCCGTCCGTCCGAGGACTTCCCGTGGTCCGATCTTGACCAAATTTGGTATGCAGCCTCCTTGGGTGACCCTAAGAACCGCCCGGTGGCAGCAAATCCGGTCCGAGCCCCGGGGGCGCTGCTGCAGGTGCACCATGGTCTACATGGGGTCGAGGAGGATCTCGGCAACGGATGCAGCTAGGAGGGCATGTAGGGGTATTTTTGGAATCGGGGCGACGAGAGAAAACCAATGGTACCAGTTTCGAGCGAATCGGAGAAGTTCGGACCCGGGTTCAAATCCCAGCGGGGTATTTTTGGAACATTCTTTTTATTCGAGTTTTTGCATTGTTTCTGATGTTTTTGAGGTTGCTGATGACGAAAACGACATTTATTTAAACCCCAGACTCAGGTTTAATTCCCGTAAGGGTCAAACATAGGCAAAATTCGTACGTTTCTTAATGTAACACGGGACGGGCCAAAGTTGCCGATGTATATCGCTACTTTTCCTGTTATTGTTATCAGCACACAAAAAACTGTTGGGATCAACACCAAACTCAATACAAAAATTTTGGTCCAAATTTGGTCCAAATTTGGTAAAGCGTGAGCCTGGAAAAAATTTGGAAGTTATTTTTGAGTTCAGCTCATCAAACACTGCAGGAAACCATATAGACCTTTTTCACGTTCCCACCCCCTCCACTCGCACCTCCACCGTTGCCTAGCAACCCGAGCCAAACAAACCGCCGCCATGTTGATTCCGCTGCAGACGCTCGCGCGACGCTGGTGCCGGGACGAGCCCGGGGGCTTTTGCCCGAAGATTTAATAGTTTTACTGTGAAATAAGGCTTTACAAGTAAGTTCCAGAGGGATTTAGAGATAATTGGGTGTATTTTGATTTACATGCCATGCATGTGGGTTGCCAAATACCTTCCAAAAAGTCGTTCGGGAGTTAGGTCTCCGCGTGGGTAGGTTATGGCACCCCACGGTTACTTTGTAAATATTGATAATAAGTTTAATTGGCATTTCAAGAAGTGAGAAATACCCTTGTTTTTCAGGAAAGAGAAACATGAAGTGCTGGGTTGGTGATTGTAACCACCACCATACCAGGGACAAATGTAAATTCTTTACGATCCCCTGCACTCCTCTTCAGAGGAGAAGGAAATCTTGGAAAGCAGCAATTGGTTGAGTCTTTCAAGAGTTATGAGGAGGCGTTTAATGGAAAAGCCACATTGTTAATGTCATTTTTGTTTTCCTTTTATCCAAAGAAATGGGGCCAGCCCACCAATTACTGCCAGGGTCTGCAGCTGCCACTTTAAGGATGGGGATAAGAATGCAGGCCCAACGATATTCAAGAGACAACGAAATCCCATGTACAAACACCTGTGGGTAACTCCTAAGATAAAAACCAAGTGGGTACTCTTTGAGCTTGTTATGTGCTTGTAATTTTTGTGCTGTTATTGTGCCTGTTATGAGTGACTCGTAAATTAAAAACTGACATTTTCATGGACTTGCAGAAAACCTCGTAGATCATTGGAGGAATTTGTGACGGCTTGTGTGGATGACCCAGCTTGTGTAGATGACCCCAGCCAACAAGAAATGCTTAGCCCGACTAAATCCATTGATGGCGGCTTCCATGTAGGTGATGCAATCCATGAGACTCCTCAGAAAAAACAAAAGTAAGTGCAAAGTAAACTCTGGGTGCTCCTTTATGCAAGATTTTGCTCTGAGGTTTTCAATATTGACCTGTGCATTTACTTTCAGACCGCCAAGCACAATTAAGTCACCCAGTGGTGTGTGGGAAGTTATGGAAGAAATTAATGGTGTTTGTGAACTTCGGCCATTGAGAGAGTCACCACAAGCTGTGCCGCTAGATTTTTAGTATGTACCTGACTATCTATGTTAGTGTATTTTCTTGAATTGGAATACAAAATAATAATAATAATTTGTCTCTTTTTCCAGTGCTGTTGCTGAGACAACTCATTGCAAAAAAAAGTTTATTTCCAAAGGATTGCAAAGTGTAAGCAGCCTCCAACATATTTCTATTTGTTTAAGTTGTGCTCCTACATCTTGTTTCTAAAAAAAGGAATATAATTTTAGGTGCTGCAAGGACCCCTGTCGATGCTCTGAGGAGCTGCAAAAGTGCAAGCAGTCACTCGACGAGGCAAGAAAATTAATTTCAGAGCTATACCAGAAACAAGCTATTTCAACAGATGTGATAAAGGAGTTACAAACTAATTTACTTTTGGAAGAGAACCGTCTTTTGTTCCCTGCTTTGAGTGATGCTAAAGTGAGGCACTACACAGGCCTTCCCAATAGAGAAACATTTATGTGGGTTTTGAGTTTATTTCCTAAACCTTTAAATTATTATGATGGTAGTACAGTTGTGAGTGTTTCAAAGGAAAATCAGCTGCTGCTAACTTTGTTGAAACTGCGTCATGCATTTACCCATGAGTTATTAGGTGACTGGTTTAAAATTAGTGACTCAACTGTTACAAGGATTATCAGAACATGGGTAAGCGCTCTCCACACTGTGCTCTTCAAGTCTGCAATGAAAAACATCCCTTCTAGACATAAAAATAAAAAATCTTTGCCTGAATGCTTTGGGCCCTACCCAAATTGTAGAATTGTAATTGATTGTAAAGAATTGAGAGTGCAGGTTCCTGATGGTATGAAGAACAAAAACTTGGTTCACAGTGGTTATTGCTGAGCGAAGCGAAGCACCCTGTTTGGGATTTTGAATAGCTCATTTGTCCGACCCCCCCCCCCCCTGATACCTTTGGTTTACAAGAGGTATCTTCCTCTGTTTATTTTTACTATATTCATATGCGTATACATAGTCGAAGCTCCATAGTCCAAGCTCTATAGTCCAAGCTTCATAGTCCAAGCTTCATAGTCCAAACTCTATAGTCCAAGCTCCATAGTCCAAGCTCCATAGTCCAAGCTCCATAGTCTAAGCTCCATAGTCCATATTCTATAGTCCAAGCTCAATAGTCCAAGCTCCATAGTCGTACGCCAAGCTTCATAGGCCATTTAGTTTGAGAATAAGATCGGTCGAGAGTAGGGAAAGATCTGTCACGAGTAGAGAAAGATCTGTCACGAGCCCGTTAGGTTAGGTTAGGTTTGGTTGGACCATTTAGTTTGAGAATAAAATCTGTCACGAGTAGAGTAAGATCTGTCACGAGTAGAGTAAGATCTGTCACGAGCCCGTTAGGTTAGGTTAGGATTGGTTGGAACATTTAGTTTTAGATTATTAAATAGCCTTCCGTCGATTCAAGGAGAAACCAACCATTGCCGAATCACAATCCTTTGCGCAAAAGCATACTTCCTGGCTATCACCCCCCAAAAAGAAAAGAGGCTCATTTTCAAAATAAACACATCCAAATTTACTACTGATGAAAATGCATTTCCATCTCCAGCAGAATCAAGCTCAGCATCGAGGCCGAAGGCCTTCCCCTGGCTAGTAAAGGATACAGCACTGCAAAAGGAGCTGTTGCTGTGGCACCTAACGGTACCATAACTTTTGTATCTGATTTGTACCCTGAAAGCAATTCTGATAAAACTATAATGCATGAGTGTGGAGTATTGGACAAATTACAACCTGGTGATCTTGTTTTAGCTGACAAAGGGTTCCTTGTTCATGATATGTAGCCGCCTGGTGTTACTTTAAATATTCCGCCCTTCAAAAATACAGCCCAGTTCACTCCTGCCCAAGTGAGAAATACAACCAGTATTGCAAGGGCTAGGATACATGTGGAGCGGGCAAATGCAAGAATCAAACTGTATGATATATTAGATTGTATCCCCGCTAATATGTTTAGCTATGCCTCACAATTGTTCCAAACGTGTTGTGCTTTGACAAATCTGATGCCTCCTCTTATTGCAGAGGTGGAGGATGAGATGAGACTGTGGCAGTAGTGTTTGTTTGCTAAATTGTAATGATTACTCTGTACTTGTTCTGGGGAATAATTATCTTTGTATTAGAAATTTATTTCTGTATTCAATTAAAACGTTTTATTAATTATTTTTCTTGTCTATTGTATGAACTGCCATACATTTAACATTCATATGTAACATTAGTAACTTCACCTTATATTAGTGACTCAATTTCAAAATAACAGCAGTGAACATAATAACTACCATTACACTAAATCACAAGTAGGACGGTCTAATTATAAAAATGACCTTAAATTAGTGACTCTTATACAAAATAACAGCAGTGAACATTAACTACCATTAGACTACATCACAAGTAGGACGGTTCAATTATAAATAGGAACAACCACATAAAGTCAGTCTTCATAACAGAACAAACTAAACTTGTAGAAAATAAAATAAAGCTTCAAGGCATTTCTTAATTGTGAGTAAGAAAACTTGAAAACAGCCACAAAAATAAAATAAAAATATTAATCATTTAAAAAACAAACACAGCACTTTGGTATTTCTTTGGCACAAAGTCACTCTTCTCGATGCTTCATTAAACGGGGAAAGAAATCCTTCTCATACTTCTTCAGCAACCTAGGCACATTATTATCATACCACTCATCACTTCTCTCAACCTCAACAATTGCTATATCTTCTGGGATCCACACAACAAAGTAACAAATATCACGAAAGGAACACCACAACTCACCCTGTATCTGGTGATAATAATTGTGATCGTCCCACAAAACAAATTTGTCCAAATCTTCATCATAATAAATCACTGGTACTTTGACAAAGTGACGAAAGTCCACAATCTCTTATTTTTCAGGAGAGTCAAAACAAGTCTAAAATTTGAGCTGCAAAATAGAGTTTTGGGATTTGATGGTTGAGTTTAACACCATAGAATCCTGAAGGCATGAGTGTTCTTTAGGTTCAAGAGCCATTGCAATCGGCAGCTTAGTTCCCGAGATAGTGGACATTCGCCATTTCTCAGCGTACGAAAATGAGGTCAAAACGACGAAAGTCCAGCCGTACTTTGACAAAACGACGAAAGTCCAGCCGTACTTTGACAAAACGACGAAAGTCCAACCGTACTTTGATGAAACGACGAAAGTCCATACGTAATTTGACAATATGGCGAAAGTCCACCTTTACTGCTAACACAAATTAAAAGAAACTTTTCACTTCTGGCATGTTTTATGTTCATGCCGTCACTGAACTCATGAATAATTATCTTAATTGGAAAGCAATAGTTAACTAAGACCGGTTTTTGCAGTTGGGACTTTCGTCATATTGTCAAAGTACGGTTGGACTTTCGTCGTTTTGTCATAGAACGGCTGGACTTTCGTCATTTTGTCAAAGTACAGTTGGACTTTCGTCATTTTGTCAAAGTACGGCTGGACTTTCGTCATTTTGTCAAAGTACAGTTGGACCCCGGGCGGAAGGATCTGTAGTCTGAACAGCACTTCTTCACTTGCGTTTTACTTAACTTAACTTAGTGTTTTAAGTAACTTTGAATTATAAAAAAAGTGGAGGAAAAGCCAAGAATTTTCTGTGTTTAAACTATTCTGTAACCGTAATTTACTACAAAAAGACTATAGAATTTTATACAAAAAGTGTAGAAAAACTGCAGAAAAAGTACCAGTTTTTTCGCCCAACTGCAGTTTTGACTACAGTTTAAACCAATTTTACTTTGCAGTGAATGTACTTATTAAACATAGTTACACCTACAGAATTCACTTAAAAAACGAATGCAGTTAAAGTGTAGTGTTAAAAGTACGTGTTTTAAAAACGAATTTGAACGTTCAATTTTCCTACTTCTGTTGCATTCTGTTGCCGCCTTCGACCTTCCATGGCCAACTTCCTTCTCGTCTGATGATGAAATCAGATACTTTGCGGGGAATCGAACCTCGCACCTTTTGGTTGCGGACCAAGTGCCTTATCCACTGGTCTACGCCACCTGCCTGGGAAGGCCATCCACCCAACGCGATCACATAATAAGGCCTGGTGCCGCTGGCATTAGCAGGGAAACTCAGTTAGAACTGCAGTTTTTCTTCAGATTCTTCTGCACTCTCTAACCACGACACTACCATGCAGTCTAACTGCCTAAGAACTAGTCATCAACTGCACTTACTTCTGTACTTCTTATCTATTGTAGTGACTATAATTTAAACTAAGTCAAAACTGAAATCTTTCTGTAGAGGCGCTCTGTAATAAGGCTGAAGACCAGGACAGCAATTTATTATTAGTTAAAAGTCAGTGATAAATGCACATAAATAGAAGTTTTCAACTCTAATACTTATGCAGTTTCTTTTGAATCCATAGTACTGTTCCAATACTGCAGTTTTTCCACTGAGTTCAAACTACACTTGAACTGCAGATCCTTCCACCCGGGACTTTCGTCATTTTGAAGTATTTTCCTACGCTGAATCTATTGGAGATATCGACATATGCTTTTTACCAGTCGACAGAAAATCAAAAGTTCTAGAACGCAGCCAAAAATCTCATTTTATCAAAATTTTGGACTTTCGTCACTCTGTCAGAGTATCAGTGAAATAGCATACCTCTTAGAAACTGCAGTATCAAAAAAATCTTTTTCATTCTTTATACACTCTTTGAGGCTTCTGGCATTTCTAAACTGAAACGGGCACTTTATTTCCACTACAGCGTTTGTACCAACAAGCCCATCAGGGCTACAGGCCCACAGTCCACTTTCATGAATCCAAAGCCCAGTCTCCACCACAGTCAAACCAGTTGTTTCAGAAAATTTCTTCTTTGCATCACATTCATGATCTGAACCCCACTGGGCAGCATTTAAACCAGGCTCTTTGTATTTTCCTCCTTTCACATTTTTCACAACTGTAGACTTTACCTTCACTCTTTCAAAGAGACTCTTCAGTAAAGACTCACACAATTTCCTGTTCTTGACTGCGGCATGTATGACGTCTCCAATCTTACTCCCATTGAATCGGTACATTCTTTCTTCAGTCCAAAGAGGATTCGTCATTTGGCCCACAGTAGCTGATGCAATCTGGCAGATTGCAGAAGGGGACATCTTGGCAGCAGAAAGAAGGTACTTGAATTTATCACGAACCTCAAAATAGACATTATGCATGGAATTGTAACACACTCAGGCGAATCTTCATCCGTGCCATTCTCAGGTTCTGGTTCAGGCTGCAAAATCCAGGCAATGCCAGCACCACCCCTGCCACACTGCCATATAGTACGACTCATTTCTTGCAATTCTTCTTCTGTACATTCTGGAACAGCACTATAAGGTTTCTTGGGAG